TAGTTGCTAGTTCAGGAAGGTGTGGTTTAGAAGATGCAGAGATTTCAATTTTTTCATTCATTTTCTAAATTAAGAGCAAGAAAGTCGGCAAGCTTAGCAGATACTTAGCCGAGGAAAAAGATATATTCGTTTTGTGGGCAGAGTTTATTGCAGTTTGGGGTATTGCTCGTCCGCAGCATAGTTTCACTATACGCTGAGTTCAAAAAATTGGTGTTTTATTTCTTTTTGATCACTTATTGGCTCGGCGAATATAAAATCCATTGATAGTGAAAGTAAAATTGAAGCGCAAGTGATTGTAGTTTAAAAAAAGGAAATAGCTTTTTAATTTTTTTTCCATATTTCAATCCCTTTATACAATGAAATTAATTGAAAAGTTCAGAAAAAGTGAAAGTGTATCTGAAAGTGAAAGTGAAAAGTTGAAAGCCAAACAGAGTATGAAAGTGGCTAAAAAAAATTAAATTGATTTTGCCGTTAATTTTAAGTGAAAGAGAAAGAGAAAGTGAAAATGAAAAGTTGAAAGTGAAAAGTTGAAAGTGAAGCTGAGGGTGAAGGGGACTAAGAAAAAGAAACCTGTGTATGCCACTTCAACCATTTTTTTCACATTTGAATTATTTCATGCCATGAAATCCATTGAAAGTGAAAAGTGAATGGGTATTGTAATAGCGAAATTGGTTTATAGAGGGAAAAATTAACGTACATCATAACACCTTTTTATATTTGAACTTCTAATACAATGAAATCTATTTTATAAATTCCTGATATTTATCTAAATGAAAACTTTAAATACTTAATGAATTCAATAGAAATCATTTTATTTGTTTTTTACAATAAATGATCATGTTAGCAAGCAAAATAATGCATTTAAAGAGATAAATTGCACATAAAATGTCTAATTATATACCTACAGGGAAAGGTGAATTTAAAATTATAATTGCTCATTAAGCCTGTTGGGAAATCCGTTCAGCGTAGCGTGTAATTATTTCATTAAACACAGAGAATGATATAAATAAATGAGTATTCATCTGTTCATACCAAAATAGTAGCATACTTTAAGGCTGCTAGCTAAAATGTTTCTCAGGTTGTAGGAAAACGTAATTGGCAATTGAGTTTATTAATGAAATATAATTAAACTAAATAAATTATGTGATATTAAATTAAATCAAACTAAAATCAAATCAAAAATAAATAAAACACAGTAAAGGCAAATATAATATAATGAAATAAATACAAATGGTTAACGTATGGCCAAAACTTTTTTTTGTGTTATAACTTTAGGTAATATGTGGTAGTATATTTGCTTGTATAACATTATAAAATCGTGCATACATTCTCTTCAAGGCAAAGCAATTATTTTGTATTTGTATCTAATTAAATTGAATTAATTTTGTGGCTCCTTTCGTCATTGGCCACAGATTCACCGAATTAGTGCACAGAAATTACGTTTTTATTGTTGGCGTTGCTAGAACTGCCCGCTGGGTAAATTGCACGTGAAAAAATATAAAAATATAGCTGATAACATGCCGCGCTCAACAAATAAGCTCCATACATCGACTACATGCTTATCCTTACGTTGTCCATAAATACATTACACACATCTAAGTATGTAATTTTGCACGCTGTGAACTTTCGCTTTTTTCTTGTAAAACTTTTACTCAATGCCACTGAGTTGATTGGAGTTAGAATTTCTTTCTTTCCATCTAATAATTTGTCAAACTTTTTTATTGAGTTAATTTTAATTTGATGCCCTGCGGCTGCTGTGGGGTTTGAGAATTTGTTTTGATTTCTTTTATCACGTCAATGTTTCGGGACTTTGTGGTTGAAAAAAATAAAAAAATATTTTGTAATATAAGTTTAAATAAAATAAGCTTAAATTCAAAAAGCAAACAAGAATAAAAATAAATTGAAACAAAATGAATAAAAAAATAAATAATATTAAAAAAAAGCAAGTGAACTAAAATAATTTCAAAAAAGAATATAAAATTAAATTGATTTGAATTAAATAATGTAAAATCAAAATAAATTAAATTAATTCAAACAAAAACTTAATACTAAAAATGATATAAAGTACAATTTGATAAAATAGTATAGAATTCAATGATATATTGCTAGATTGAAATGCCTTAAATTAATTTAAACTACATTATTTTAAATAAATAAAAGAAAGAAAATTAAATTAATTGAGATTACAATTTCAATCTAAATAGCAATATATCATTTAATTTTTTTTTTAAATAAAATAAAAAAATAAAGTATATTAAAACAGCCCTAATAAAAATAATAAATTAAGAAAAGGAGAGAAAATAATTAAAAAAACAATAAATGAAATACATTCAACTGTATTAAAAACTTAACGTAATTTGAAATTAATTAAATTTAATTATATTAAATTAAATGGAAATAAGTTAAGTTGAATAAAATGAAAATAATATTAATAAATTAATACAATTTCTTACAATTTACTTAAATAGTATTAAGTTTATTTAATATATAATGTTAAGTTAAATTGAATAAAATTATTTAAATTAATTAAAATAAAACAGTATAAAAAAACATTTAAATGGAATGAAATAAAATACAAGAAAAAAAATTAAAATAAAATAAATTTAAGTAAAATAAAAATATATATAAATTTAATTAAAATAAAATAAATTTAAGTAAAATAAAAAAATATATAAAATTAAGTAAAATGAAAAATAAAATTAATATAATAAAAAATATAAAGTAAATTAAAATGAGGAAATTAAATTAAATTACACAAAGTTACGTTAAATTGAATTAAATAAAATATATTTTTTCAATTTAATTTAAGTTAATTTAATAACCTTGATTAGAAATAAATTAGTTATCAAAACTAAAATAAATGGAAATAAACAAGAGAATGATAAGGTAAAAGTAGATAAAGTGAAACGCAAAGCATTTATATTAATTAATAAAAATAATATAGAAGAAAATACTCCAAAATACATTCAAATATAATAAATAAAAAAAAAATTCACAGTAAATTAAAAGGAAATGAATTAAAAATATGCAAAATGAAATAAAATTAAGTTAAACAACTGAAATCAAGTTAAATTGAATTAATTTATTTGAATAAATTGAAATAACCAAAACTAAAATAAAAATAAAATTAAATAAATTTTTATATTAAAATAAAATAAATTCAAATAATAATAAAAATCCACGCTGTCAACGCCACACCATCAACAGATGTTCCACTTTTATAATAATATTATGAAATTAACTTTTCATACACAATTAAATACAAATTGTTGCACGTATACTCATTACAGATTTCACACATTCTATGTAAACAACAGCAGAATTAAAACTACCGCCATACTCATTAAATAATCTACACCATTAAACACACACTTATCTACCACCACATACAGAATAAATAAAGAGAGCAGGGCAAAAATTAAATAAGTTGTAACGGTAGAATTGTTTGCTCATCCATGCCTCAAGTACAACTGCAACCACGTGAGCGTCGGTAAGTAGAAGTAGAAAATACTTGGGCACACACAGTAAATAGGAAAAGGTGTTACAAACAAGCAGTAACATATTTATAGGTGATTAAACTACAGTACACAGTACATGTGTAGCAACCATTTAACGGCTGACTGCATTGGTTTACAAACAAACAAACAAACAAAAAGGAAAGTACTTAAAATCTAAGCCTCAACTAAGTTGGCAAACTCGTAGTGGAGCGTAGGAAGCCAAGCAGCCAGGCAATGCCATGTTGAGGTGTTCGCCACTCCAGCGTTTGCTGCTACCAAGTATACAACAACAGCGCATTCACCTTTTAATCACCAGCACAGCGACTATGCACTGTTGGCACTTACAAAAAGGCAAAGTAAGGTCAGTTCAGGAAAGCAGCATAAATAGTTGAGTAGCAAAAGCCCATAATAGCTAACAACATCGGTTGGATTTTATACGCACCCCACTCTTGCTACTCTTTTTACTGTACTTTCTCCTGGTTAAGTCTTGTTTAACGCTTTCACTTGTTTGCTGACTGCAGCGTATTTAATTTCATGTAACACATATGTGTGTGGGGGTGTGTGTGTGTGTCGAAGTACATGTATACAGTACACAATAAATGCATTGCCATTTGTAGTGCACTTAAATGACTTGTACGGGGCGTATGAGTAACATTCTTATTATGAGTTTTTTATTTAATGTTTTATTTTTGTGGCTTTGGTTTGCAATGATAGCCACAAGCTGTTGCTTCAGCTAATACGTGTACTCAAACTAATGCTTGTTGTATGCCTGTATATTTTTGTTATTTTATTGTTATTGCTGCTGAAGGTTTATAGCTCAAACTTTTACCTAAAACCCCTTTATTTTAGTATTAAATGAATTTTAAAAACCTCTGAATGCTTACGAGTAAAAATTTAATGTGAATTACAACAGATATTTAAGCTCAAGTTTTTTCGTGTAATGCTTTCCACAATCGTGTGAATTGAAATATTTTATTTTACTTTCTTAAATTTTATTTTGTGCTTCTTATTTTAATTTATTTTAGTTTATTTTATTTTAATGTATTTTATTTTATTTTATTTTATTTTATTTTATTTTATTTTATTTTATTTTATTTTATTTTATTTTTGTTTTAGTTTATGTTAGTTTATTTTATTTTATTTTTTTTTTTTTATTTTATTTTAGTTTATTTTATTTTCATTTATATTTATATTTATATATTTTTTTTTCAGTGTATTTTTTTCTTTTTGTTGAGTTCATTTTAATTTAATTTATCTTATTTATATTCATTTACATCATTTTATTAAATTTTATTAGGAATAAAATTAGCAAAATTGGTTTTTTGAAGTGGGAAACTTTTTTTTAATTTTATAAAAACTAGTCAGCTTTTAGTTTTAAGGGAAATATAATATGTGTTTGCATAGAAAATGTTTCAAAAAAACCATAAAAAGATAAAATAATATACTCAAATTTTAATTAACTTAAATATATGCACTCAATTAATTGTTTTCCTTTTCAGAATATTTGCTTTTCACGCATTTGTAAAGGTAAGTTTTATATTGAATAAACTTATTGTTGTAAGAAATTTATTTCTTCGTACACACATCAACAAAAAAACTAACAGCAAAAACTATCACTGACCCAGATCACAGGGATATTCAAAAGTTAGCTTAAATCTTTTTCCATGGTTCATATCTGAACGAAATAAAATTTTAAGAACTGTCTCATAATTTCCCGAAAAATAATTTCGTAGAACTTTTGCTTCCTCCTAAGGAAGTTGTTTTGATCTTCAATTCAAGTATCCCCTCAAAGAACTGCTTGCTGGGATGTTAGAGCGTTCAAATATACTACACAATTTTTATTCTGAAATATTTACTAGAGATATTTGCAGACAAAAGTTCTTTTTCAATTGGCTACTCAGTTTAAGAAAAAAATTTTCAATAAATTTAATTTTTTACATTTTTCTATAACAACTCTTTTATTTCTCAAAAATTTTGCATTTTTTAAATCAGTTTAAATTTTTTATTATGCAAAAATTTATTTACTACATAACCACACAATATTACCATCGAAGAAAGTCTAAAAATTAACAATATCATCAAATATGTGTGAAAATACATACACCACCAACCATATTCAATTAAGCGCATGGGTTTACTGACCACACAGACTGGTAGGCCGACCACCAACGCAGTCGATAGACCGCAACATTCCAAATAAATATATGGCTAGCCTCATTTTTATTGTTGGAATTTATTATTATTTTGTCATATGATAGTCAACAAAGCAAACAACACCAAGGAAATAAAAAATAAAACACCGTAGATGACATTTAAAAACGAAAGCAAAAATATTACTCATACGTCATGGCACACTCAATACAAGCTGTTGCTCTCGCCAAACAATGACCGTAAAGATAACGAAGCATTGTGATATGAATTAAGCGAATGTCGCGCTCTTATATACTATGCAAATACTGCGCACCCATGGTCAATGTACGCACACAAGCACACACACACATACATACATTTATTTCACTGTGTATACAGTGGAACGGAAGCATATTTGACTGACTTTTGTCAAGTATAAAGTGATTTATCATCGAATTTTCAAACGCCTACAATCCATTTTCCACTGAGGCATACATGAATGATGACATTGATGTTTGCGCCTAATCTCATTGGTTTTGTTTTGTTTATTACGCACATACATAAAACGGCACACTACACTACAAGAGATGGCGGAGTTCAGTTCGGCATTGCAAGCGTTCAATGGTTACGACGTAATTTCAGTTTTGTTGCTGTATTTATTTTCATTTTTCGATATAGATTGTGACGTAGCTGGAGCGTGAGCATATATTTATATATCTGTTGTATAGTTAAATTGAATGCTTCTGTTCTGTTTCATTTTTACTGCGTTGAAGAAGTATTCCCTACATAATTAACTCTGAGCATCAGCCACTAGATCACTTCACTGTGCCACTTTTGTAGGGACCACTGCTACTGCGTCTTGTCTTGAAACCTCCTGGAAGTCGCCGTATCAGCGCTCGATATTTATCCCACACCGCACGTGTTGTGGTCGAGCGGAACGTCGCGGGGTTGACAGTTGTTTTTTTCTCACTGCTGTTCGACATCTCTCATTGTACCAGCTCTTTTTCTGCCACTGTCGAAATACAATTGATTCCATTGCGGCGGTACGTACGTAGTGTGAGATTTAAGTATAGTTCAAAGTAATTAAGGGACTTGCAAACGCACTGAAATATTTCTGCAATATTTCAAAACATCAGTTAACGAAAATTCAACGTTCAACTCAATGATCTTTGCGTTTTAACTCAATTTATCTTCATTTAGATATTTATATCTATCCAAACTTGAGAGTAAATATTTCGAGAATCCTTACGGTTTGCAAACAGAAAACAAATAGATTTAACATACGTATATATGTATTTAAGAGTAAATTTATTTGTATGTTGCATTGAGGGTTTGAAATTTTAAAATCTTTCAAAAACTCCAAACACAACTTTACTTTACTTTGGGTTTGGAAAAATAGTTTCGCTATAATTCCCCTATGCTTAGAGGTATAAACAAATAAAAGCACATCAAAAATTCACACGCACCCTCAAATGCTCCACTAGACGCCCTCAAAAATGAAAGTGCTTTAACTTGAAGGCGTTTGCCCACAAACATGCACTCAATGGCATACCCACACAGACACAGCTTGAATGGAGTAGCTTTACACTTGCTTAGTTGTTAGTGCAACCGTTATTTGTTTTGTTTTTCACGAGTCTTGCATATTTCAGCAGCTTGCATACCACGAGCTATTACAGCACTTACTGCTGTATGTTCGCCGGTTTTGAGCTGCATTAAGTGGTCGCAAAGCTCAGAAGATTTGTTGAGTTGTGTTGGGAAATTTCGGAATAATTTTTTGAGAATTTTATTACAATAAATTTCAAATAAAATCTATGTATAAATAAAAAAATAAAATAAATATCCATATTTGTATTAAATTGCTATCATTTGTGGAAGTTTTGATTTTCTATTTTAATTGGAAGAAAAATGCAGCTGAAGCCCATTAAATGCTTGTGGACCGATAAGTCATGCGGAGAATGGTTTCAGTGCTTTAAAAGCTCAAGTGTCGAAGATAAGCAGCCAATCCAATTGAAGCTGGGGAATTGGTTGTTTTGCTAAATCAAAATCCATGCCAGATCTTGCTCCTATCGGCTGCTGGATTATGGAAAGAGAGTTCTAATTTTTAGGAGATGCTATCCGAAAATTACCAGAGAGATGGGGAGAAGTAGTTGTAGTGCATAACTAGTGAAATGAGAACCCTAGTACAACTTAACGTGGGCGTCTTGATATTTTCCAATAAATGGAGTGACCTACAGTTTATTCTATTTTTATAAGGTGCTTATATTTAATGTCAAATACCGAGTGGTGACCTCAAATAGAACAATTAATTTTCTATAAGTCGGATGTTGGTCGAAACAGGACTTGAACACTGACCTTCACAATGGTCGTACGAAGTGCTAATCACTCAGCTATTGCGTTCGTTTTGCTTAGAAAGACTTAAATTTTGTATATCCGAACTTTTTCCGGACATCTTCTTCTTCTTCATTGGCTTGCGCGCTTATAGCCCAATCTTCAATAGCGCGACATTCGTACCATCCATTCGCGCACCATTATGGCTCCCGATGTTCATCTGATGCTTCCAAAAAAATAGAGGTATTTCTCTTCTTCTTGCGTTCCTTATGTTTCTTGTGTTGGAAAACATCACAAATAGGAGGCGGAGTTTGATGGAAAATCACTTGCGCATTTACAAAGCGCCAATTATAAAAAAAAAAAATCTTTTAATAATATGATAATTTAATTAAGAAAGTGCATCTCTCTGGCTAGTGAATATCAGAGAAGCTGGGTACTTGCAAAATTTAATACAACGGTCATATGAAAAGGAGCGCAACTCCCCCTTTTGTGTTGGATTTGCGTTGAGAAAGAGAGACTCCATCGCCTAGTAATGGCGATGGTACTTTAGAATTCAAGCACTACACGCAGGTATCACTGATTTGTGACCTAAAACACGATGTTGAAGAGGATGATGTGAGCAAAAGTGTTTTCACTGAGCATCTGACACGCATCTGAAACGCACCTATGATCACCATCATAAGACTTTCCTGCCATAAGCGGCGGGAAAACACTTAACATTTTATGCCCCCGCCAGGTTTCATACTAGAAAACTGCGATTTTATACAGCCACGACCTGTCATTTTGTCCATTAAAAATTCAAAATTCACCTTAACAACTTGAGGTACTTAACTTATGACTTCTCCTACAGGGTATTTACGCCCGTTAAACTACAAAATTACTTGTTGATGTAACACATTTTCGCATATTATAACAAATAGTATCTATTTAAATAGAGGCACGATGGCCTCATGTCGATTTTGTCACCAAACAAGAACAGACATTTTCATTTTCTAACACATTTTACAAGCATTTAAAATTGTAAACACGATAAATTTGTTTATATAATTTACATACGAGTGTTTTGCGTACTCAACGGCATACAAATTTTCGAAAACGAAAGCCTGTGGCGCATATTTCAACTCAATAGTGATGGTGAATGGGTTAGTTTGAACAGAAAATATACAAAAAATAAAAACTTTTTCGAAAAAAAAAAATTTTGTTTTTCTGACGTGCACACAGGGTTGTCGAATGTCACGTATGTGTGCTGAAAACAAAAACCAAACACTTACCTATTAATCCAACAAACTTTTGGGAGCTGGAAAAGAGCAAATGTGCAGACCAAGCTAGGAGCGGTAGGAGAGCGCGGAAGGCCACAGCAACCACATGTGTTGAGGGAACAAATTGTCTGACGATTTGTGTTTTTTTTTTTTTTTTGTAACCATAGGCTTGCCATAAAAGTGCCCACAAAAACTGCAGCAAAATAACACTGAACACACAATTATTTGCATACAAATACGAGTATACACATACACATATATATATATATATATATGAATATATATATATGTCAGTAGAGAAACACGTGTCCTTCATTGTTTACTCGTTTATTTTTTATTTTTTGTTTTGTTCCTCTTGCGCTTGATGTTAAACTATTTTAAGCAACCAACCAAAATTTTATATAGTTTTACATAAATACATATATATGTTTATATGTGTGCTATTTACATATGTTTTATTTTAACAATATGTTTTCATGCGTTAAAATGTTTGGGTTTCAGCTTTAAATGACCGTAAAATTTACATTTTTCCTTTTTTTGTGTTGGAATTCTAAAGGGGTTCGGGAGCTCTCAGAGGCATTTAAGAAGACTATTTTGTCTAAGGAATTACAAGAAAGGACCATTTATATTTATAGTGAGAGTGGGAGAGAGATAGAGAGAAAGAGAGGGAGATAAATAAAGGGAGAGTGAGAGAGAGACAGAGAGAGAAAGAGTTATAGAAAGGATATAAAGAAATGTTTAATGAAATTTAAGTAGAATAAAGTATAGAAAAATAAACCCTTTGCATTTCTATTTACCGAGTTTAAAGAG